AGACGATTGCGCTGCAGTAGTGTGGCAAATGAACTGGAGGCAGGGAGTCCAGTAGTTGGTTATTGCAATGCCTGATCATTCATTCATTTGTTCTGTGAATATGAGTGCCTACGCTGTGCCGGGCACTATGTTGGGCCTGAGCACACAGCAGTGAACAAACATACCCATCTCTGCCCGTGTGGAGCTACATGTGGGCCGGGGTGGGGGGTGGGGGGAGAGACAGTGAAGGAGGAGCGTGTGTACTATGTTAAATGGGGATAGGTGCTAGGGACAAAAATTAAGCTGAGAAGGGAATAGGAAGTGTTGGGGGTATGTGCTTCAGGGTGGTTAGAATTTTAGGTAGGACACTCAGGGAAAGCCTCACTGAGAAAGGTGGCATTTGAGTAAAGACCAGAAATTGGTGTAGGATCCAGCCATACAGATATCTGGGGCAATAGCATTCTAGGCAGAGACCTGTGCAAAGGCCCAGGGGTGGGAGTGTGAGCAAAGTGTTCCAGGATCTGTGAGGAGACCAGTGTCACTGGCGTGGAGAGAGTTAGGGGGAGAGCAGTAGGAAGTGAGGTCAGAGAGGTCCGAGGGGCAGGTGGTGGAGAGGCTTGGAGGCCTTGGGGAGGACTTGGTGGTGTGGGAGGCATTGGGGGCTTTGGAGCAGAGGGGTAATATCATCTGGTGTAGATTTCAGTAGGATCTCTCTGGGCTCTGTGTGGACACTAGACCTAAAGGGGAAGGGGTGGAGCCAGGGAGACTAGCCGATAGGAGGCTATTGCCAGAGTCCGAATGAGACAATGGCAGCTCAGACCAGAGTGATGGGGTTGGGGGCTGTGCAGGGGGAGTGGTCAGACCTGCAGGCCAGAGCCAGTAGGGTTTGCTGAAGATTGGTTGTGGGCATGGGAGAAGAAGAACCAAGGACAGTTGTAAGGTATTTGCTTGTGGAGAAATGGTGTTGCTGAGATGGCGACTCTAAGTGGAGCAGCCTCAGGAAACAGCAGGCTCCCAGCTCTGGAAAACCAATGACGAGGTGCCAGTTACATGTCCAAGAGCAGATGTCAAAGAGGCGGTTGGTTTATATGAGCCTGGAGTTGTGGGGTGATGTCTGGGCTGGAGACCGACATTTGGGAGTCATTGGTATATAGATAGTGCTTAGAGTTATGAGGCTGAGGAAAACACAGTGCGATGGTGGAGGTGTGGAATAGGAAAAGGGAATTCTCAGTACACTTAGCAGGTAAAAGTGACATGACCTGGGGACCATTCAGAGGTGAGGGTGAAGTGGTGGGTGGACTCGAAGGTAAACTCCGGCTTCCTGGCCTGGGGTGGCTGGGTCGTCGGCTGAGCTTTCCCAGAGTTAGGAAACACAGGAGGGGAGCAGGTTGCGGGGCTGAGCGGCTGGTGCTGGTTTAGATAGGGTGAGCTGGCAGTGTCTCTGGCACAGACTAGAGGAACGTTGGCATGGAGATCAGGAGTCCAGGCTGGAGGAACAGAGCTGGGAGCCCGCAGCCTGCAAGTGGTTGTTGAAGGCAGGAGTGTGGAGGGAGAGCAGGCAGGCTGAATAGAAGGGAGAGGGGCAGGCCGAACAGAGCCTCCCTTCTCAGTTCTGTCATGGCAACAAGCTCTGAGGCATGCCCTTCTTTTCAGAGTGACGCCTAGAGTGGAACCTGGTTTTAGGGCATGGTTTGGCCATGCCCGTGGACTGTGCGGCCCTCACCTCTCTTTTAAATACTGTACTTCTCTTGCTGATGAAGCCAAGGTCCTGCAAGAGGATGTGGCTTGCTCCAAGTTGCGGAGCTCGCTGGTGGCAGAAACGGGGCTGGAATCGTGACCTCCTGTCAGCTAGCCCACTCTACCGTGCTGTTGGTCACTGCAGTTGCGGGTGACGCAAAACACCAACCCAATCTAGCTTCCGCCGGAAGGGCTCACCTAACTGGGCACGGCAGGAGCCAGAGTCACTGTGTTCTCAGGACTCCCCATCTCTCGGGTTTTCTTGTCTCTGTGGGTTCCTGAAGCGGGGGGAGGGGGGGGGGAAGTGGCCTCCAGCCGCTCTGGGAGCAGATCCACACAGCTCAGGATCCAAGAGGAAGGCCTGGGATTGCCTGCGCCTGGGCAGCTCACCTACAGCTGAGGGCAGGAGGAAGAAGGGCAGTTCCCCAAAGTAAAGAGAAGTGTCCTTATCATGGTGGTGGTAACAAGAGCTCACTCACACTGAACAAACAGTAGGGTTCCTTCGGCTATGTTTGCCATCAGGGGTAGGCGCTGACAGAGAATAAGGTCAAAGAAAGGTGATATACTGATGAAGAAAAGTGTGATATAAGCAGGCAATAAAGGGGACTTAGAATTTAAAAGGAAATTAAAATCCCTCCCTTCTCCCCGCTTCTACCTTGTGTCAGTAGGTGCCCGACCTGACTGAAATCTGCCCATTCAGCTAGCGTTCTCACTTAGCTTTCGACCACACAGGTAGCCTCTGGGCTGTGCAGACACTAGTCAAGAGCAGCGGTTGTCTTCATTGTACCATGTAGGCTAGTTTACACACTGCCAGCTGATTCCAGGGTTTTCTAGCCTTGAAATGCACCAGCGTGGATTGAATTAGTCATGCAATTTGTAAAGGTCTGAAACATTCTTTCACAGTGAAAACTACCCGCAAGATAAACTTTCATGAACATCTTCTGCCCTCTTGCTTGATCTGTCAGTACTCTGACGAGCTGGGAGAGAGCTTGGCCTGGGGGGAGTTTTTAATCCCTCACTGCCTAGTTTGTTTATATGGCCCTCTTTAGGTCAGGCGAGCATCTCTCACTGGAAGGCGGGACCTTCAGGCATGCTTCTCCCATCACGTAACCTTGGAGAAACACTGCAGCCTCTGTTTTCTCGTCTGTAAAATAAGTATACTACCTTTCCTGCTGGCCTCCCTGGGTCACTGTGAGGCTTGGGTGAAGCTCTGTGGGTAGAGGCGCTTTGAATACTTTGGAGCACTATGCAAGCGGAAGATGCCGTTTTTCTTTACATTGCTCTGTTCACATACGAGACAGTTTGTTAGCATCTGTGGCACTGGCTTCTGTTTTGTCCCCCAGTTCGGTGAGTCAGGAACTGTTGGTCATACCATGTCCTGGAAAGACAGCCACCATCTAACAGAGCATGTGCCCTCTGTGCCTCATTTGTCTCATCTTGGAAATGAGTTGGCTAGTCCCTGTTCTCCCTTCTTGTCCCCCGGTGGTTGTGAGGCTCAGATATAATGCCGGCCCTGACGAACCTTTTATAAGCTGGCAAAGCCCTTACGGAAATGTAAGGTATCATTATTACTGCGTGCTGAACATCGTTTTCCTAGTTTGTTCTTGATAAAAACATATAATTAACTTCGTTGCATGAAGAGACTTTGATTCACTAGAAATCACACTGTTCTCTAGATTTGAAACTACCAACATGAAATTGACAAGCATATGCTGTCAAATATGTATTACAGAACACAACTCTTTTTATGGAGCTAAGACTTGGCAAATATTTCACATTAGAATTTGTTTTCTATAGATTGCACTAAGAATATTCATTCCATGTAATGGTAATAGGGTAAAATTCCATGAAATGATAGTACCTGGAATCTTAAACTTTTTTGAACTGGTTGATTCATTTGAAATCCACCTGGACACCTACTCTTACTTCCTAGTTGTCAGTTAGTATTTCACTTATACTCAATATAAAGGTAACCAACTGGTCTAATAAAAATTCATTCATCTAAAAAAGAAAATGTCCGTATAGGCCTGCTAAGTGCTCATTTTCTCCCGAAGAGCCTGCGTTTTACGATTGTTTAATGACTCTGTTTCTTTTAGTCCTACAGGATCACATGTTGAGTGGTGTAAACAGCTTATAGCTGCTACAATTTCTAGTCAGATTTCAGGTTCAGTGACATCAGAAAATGTATCCAGAGATTACAAGGTAAGCGACATTGAGTGCTTAATTTGTTTCCACTGTGCTATGTAGCCGAGAAGCTTTGCAGTTTTAATTCCAAAGAGTCCTTGACCCCTGGATGCTCACCTGCCACTTGTTTGGGAATGAGGGGAGAAGTTCTCTGTTGTTAGATCTGAAATTGCGAAGGGAAGTGTTACCACCTTCTAGTATATGTGGTCAGAGTTTTGTCATTGAGAAGAGCTGTCTTTAGATTATCATCATTCTTTTAAAAATCAAGTTCCATTTTATTATTAAAAAATGCATGTATTTTCTTTGTTAGCATTCTGATTTTCAGAAAATGTCTGGTTTATTTCTCTAACTTTACAACTTCTCTTTGTGTTTAGGTACTATCTGTGAGTATTCAGCTCAACTTTAATAAGTTCTTAACATGTGCATAAGGAGCCCTGGTGGCGCAGTGGTTAAAGTGCACGGCTGCTAACCAAAAGGTCAGCAGTTCGAACCCACCAGTCACTCCGCAGGAGAAAGATGTGGCAGTCTGCTTCTGTAAAGATTACAGCCTTGGAAACCCCACGGGGCAGTTCCACTCCGTCCTATAGGGTCCATAGGGTCACTGTGAGTCGGAATCGACTCCACAGCAGTGGGTCTGGTGGGTTTTGGTGACGTGAAACTACAAGCAGAGAACTTGTACGGGCAGCCGCATTGTTTAGTTCTTACTGAAGTGAGAAATCTCTTCTTTATTTTACAAGTTAGATTCCCTGTTTGTTCTAAAGTTAAGGGGGTGATAGGCTCCTTGGCGGTGGGGACTGGGGCTCTTTTACTTACTACTGGTTCCCCAGCATAATCCTGCAGCACAACAGGTGCTCAACAAATAGCTATTGAATCGAGTAACAAACCGAAGAATGGCACGCTCCACCTTTGCTAAGGCTAAAGATGAACTTTGCTTTCATCTCAATGAGCTATTGACAGGTGCAAGGTGAGACCGTGTTTGTGGTTCAGTCATCTACTGTGCTGGCTCCGACGGAGGTTTCAGTGCACTGCAGTCGCGTTTGCCTGCTGGTGTGAGATAACTGATGTTTACAAGCACATGCAAATTGCTTGTAGTGTCCTGGGCTACCGTCAGTTAACAGTCTCAAGATCATGGGCCTGGCCAGACTCTTTAAGTCTACCAGTTGTTCTCCTTCACTCCAGAACCACAATGGAGATCATAATGACTTCTTTTTGTAATAGCTGCTCCTTGTTTAGGGGCTTTAGCCTCAGTTCCGCTTTAGCTCATAACCTAACAAATGCAGAAAGTGACTCAAGAGGTCACCTAATTGAGATGGAGCTGTGCTGCTCTCTGGTGCTTCACCCTAGTCGCCCGATGCTGTTGATTATGCTCCCAAAGGAAAGCAGAGCTGTGGATAAGTGGAACTGGACAGTCTGCCCAGCTAGAAGAGGGACAGCACACTTCTTAATAGGTTTCCCTGCCATCTGGTCTTCATGTTGGCCCCGAGGCAGAGCTGGGGCTCCTGGCCCTAGAACCCTGGCTGGGCAGCGGTGCTGTCTCCAGGCGAGAGAAGGGTGGTGAGTCACTGAGCAGCTGCTGGCCCCGCCGGTCCCAGGTGCCCTATCACCCAGCCTAGCTGAGAACCTGCCCCGCTGAGGGCAGAGAGTAGCTCTCAGATCTTGGAGCAGTTTTCTTCACAGACAGTTCTGAGTTGACTGTGGTGTTTCCATTAGAGTTGTTAGTGTTGTTTGGGTTGTATGAGAGACTGGCTGTTGACCTTTACTAGGTCAGGTAGAAGCTGTACTTTAACATGAAGTAATTACATTCTTTGTTGTTTTTCAAACTTTAGCCCATTTTCAAATTTTGTGTAGCAGATTTAGCTCATGTTGGAATGGTTCAACAGATAGTGTTAAGAAACAAATAAGGTTTTTCTATAGCTAAAGCCTTTGAATTATTGTAAAAGAACATGCTTTATAACTGTCTTTGTTATACTTGCCCTATAACCGAGTCTGGAAAGTTGGCATTCAATTTATAATTCATGAGTTTCTATGCTTTCTTCAAGGAGAGCTGATTTTTTTTGTTTTGTTTTTTTAATAATAAAAGCATAATATGTTTCTAAACCACAAAAATAATTTCACATGCTACTTATAAAGTAGTTCTTAAAATTAGGGTAACCAAGATGGGCCTTTGGGACCCCTCTGGCATGGAAGCCATTGTATAGGCTGCTAAGATTGATTCTTCATCATCATCTTCATCATCACTGGACATCTAACTTGTGTAGGGCTCTGTGATTTTGTAATACTTTTAGACATATCACCCATTTAAACCTTAAAACGACCTCATAAGGTAGCTGTTATTATAACCATCATTTAACAGATGAGGAAGCTGAGGCTTAGAGAGATTAAGTGAATTACTTAAGATCACACAGTTAGACTTGGGATTTGAACCCCAGTCATCCTATTGAAAAGCCAGAGTGGTTTAAAAAAAAAATGATATCCCCTGTTTTCCATTGTTTTTCCAACTGTGGTCCTTGGGTCTTCCCACCTCAGCACTCCCTGGGGTGCCGTGAAAGTGGATCTTCCTGGGCCCCGTGGCAGACTTAGTGACTCAGAATCTTTGAGGTCAGAGACCCAAGTGCCTCCAATGTTTGTTATGCACAAAAAAAGCTGAGAACCCCTGCTCTAGGCTTTCTAGGTTTCTGTGCACTGAAGTTCATTTCTGGTACATTCCTGAAAATCTGACAAATTAGCAACAATTGTTAGATGTTGAGAACAATTGTTTTCTTATTTACGCATATCATAAACTAACAGTCAGCTCAGGGTCAGATCACCCAAAATGTGGTAAGAATACTACTGGTAGCACATGAGATGAGCTTAAATGGCATGCAAACTTGTGATTTAACCGATATTATTGCTTAGAGGAGGGCAAAGTATAAAAAAGGAGTGGATTTAAAATCAATATAAAGATAAATATTCAATAAATAACACTACAGGTGGTATGCAGATAACAGCACACAAAACTTGCAGAGGTTTTATGTGAATGACAGAGTTTGGGAAACACTGTCCCAGCAGAAAGAGTAGAAGCTATGATGCTGAATTATGGATCAGCTAAATTAAGAAAGATGTGCTTTACTATCAAGTCATCTTGAAGATGTAGTAGTCTGATAATTAAAACTACTAGAAGAAATATGAGAAAAATGTTTTGTTTTGTTCGCCCCTCCCCCTACTAATTCAATTGCTCTCTTTTGACTAAACTCACAATAGTAAAAGCTTCTCGAATTTGTCAAAAACTTTAAGAACAGGATCTGAATGTAGTCTGCTGTAGATCAGACAAAAAATACAGTTACCAATTGTAATGAAACATTTTTAGGAACTATTGGTAGAAGTGACACAGGTGACCAGGAGACATGAAAAGACATATAGGTGTCAAATAATCACGTGAAAAGATGTCCAACATCATTAGTTGTTATGTAAATGCAAACTAAACCACAATGAGATAAGACTATACACCTGTCAGAATGGGTAAAAGGAAAACTGGCGACAACGCTAAATGCTGGCGAGGATACGGAGAGATTGGATCACTTGTACATTGCCACTCTGGAAAACTCAACGTGCAACTGCCATAGGCCCCAACAGTCTCGCTCCTGGGCATTTGTCCCAGAGAAATGAAAACTTACGTTCATACAAACACCTGTCTGGGAATGTTTAGAGCACCTCTATTCATAATAGCCCCAGACTGGAAACAACCCAGATGTTCTTCACCAGGTGTATGGTTAAACAAACTGGTATTTCCATACCAAGGAATACTAAGCAGTGAAAAGAAAGAAGAGCTATTGATATACGTAACAACTTGGATGAATCTCAAGAGAATTACGCTAAGTGGAAAAAAAAAATCCAATCCCAAGAGGTTATGTACTGTATGATTCCATTTATATACAACTCTTGAAAGGACAAAATTACAAAAATGCAGAGCAGATTAATGGTTGCCAGGAGTTAAGAAGGGGGTGGGGAGGAAGGGAAGTGGGTGTGGTTATAAAAGGGCACCATGAGAGATCCTTGTGATGAAACTTTTGTATTTCAACTGTATCAATATCACTATTCTGGTTGTGATATTGTCCTACTGTTTTGCAGTATCTTACTATTGGGGGAAATTGGATAAAGGGTAGGTGGAATCTCTCTGTATAGTTTCTTACAACTCAAAAAAATGTTTAATTAAAAAGTGAAGATTCTATATTACATGTAAAATATTTTTGGTTAACTATAGGGTCACTATGAGTTAGAATCGATTTGCTGGCAATGGGTTTTTTTTTTTTTTTTTTTAATAACAACTCATGATATACCAGAATTGTTACTTAAATGAAGAATATAGTTATGCTAATAAATTAGAATTTAGTTAAGGAAAAGAATATCAACAATTATTCCTTCTATTACTTCAATTACAAATAAACTCATTCCTTTTGTAAGTGGAAATGGGGGCCAGCATACGTCCACAAGGATGGAATTGACCTGCTCCTTTGCCAGGTTTCCTGGAGGGCTTTAAATACCTAAGGCAAGTGTTTTCGGTCCAGGTTGGACATGGTATGGACATCGGGCAGGGTTCAGGCCTGGCTAGTCTCTCCCAGACTAGGGTTGTATTTTGGTCACCTTGTTAGAAAGTGTATTGGGAAGTTCCTTTGACTTTGAGACTTTTTGGCCTGTCCTTGATCTGACTCAGGCTGGCTGATGAGCGCTGAGCTGCATAGACTTCTGGTTATTGAGGCTCTACAGGATGTGTCCAACTTTACTGTAGCGAGAGGAACAGTCTCCTGACCTAACAGTTCAAACTTCTTAGCAGGGGAGAATCTTTTCTTTTTAACTCATTTTATAGCAATCTGTTTGCTAAAGCAAAATTTATTTATAGACTTTACACCTAAAACAGAAAACAGTGGTGTCTTACTCCAATGTTACAATCTTTTCTTAAAAAGAAGCCTCCTAAGAGACATAAGTTCAGAGATAACTTATTTATAAAAAACTGATATTTATTTGGCCTAGAATTGTGTGGT